GCCTTCTTAACGGCCCGTCCACACAGCGGCGTGCGTTGAAGCTTCAACGCTTCTGCCCATTCACTTCGCCGAACTGCATTGTGGGAGCATCGCTACGCGTTGTTCGCTGCAAAAGTTGAGCAATGTTCAACTTTTGAAGCTTCGACGGAAGCGTCAGCCAATCGAATCATATGCCAGTACAAGCTCTAGCCAATCAAACCGCGTGCCCTTGTGTCCGGGGCGGGAGATTCAGGTGATTGGTTGTTGGTCTAGCTTCAGACATGCCCGCCGGCAAGCGACAAAGCACGCCGCTGTGTGGACGGGCCGTTAGTGCCCAGCACTTAGTGCCCAGCACTTAGTTCCCAGCACTTAGTTCCCAGCACTTAGTGCCCCCATGGAACTAAGTACAGATCGCGTTCACACCCGAATAAGTTCCCTGAGGGAAGATTACGCAAATGAAGCCGCTGACGTCACTTCTTCTTCTTCTACTTTGGGTTTACTGGCAGGCCACAAACAACTTCACGGCGTATACTGCCACCCGAAGTCCCCGGCCGGAAGTCCCCGGCCGGAAGTCCCCGGAGTTGGGGACTGGCAGCAGCTTCTACTGAAGCCTTCCGAGTAAATCGCCAACCAATCGCTTGAATCTCCCGCCCCGGACACACAAGCATACGGTTTCGTTGGCTAGAGCTTTTACTTGCATATCATTTGATTGGCTGACGCTTCCATCGAAGCTTCAAAAGTTGAACATTGCTCAACTTTTGAAGCGAGCAACGCGAGCAAAGCGAAGCGACGCTCCCACAATGCAGTTCGGCAAAGTGTGACGTCACCCCATTTAAAGTGAATGGGCAGAAGCGTTGAAGCTTCAATGCACGCCGCCGTGTGGACGGGCTGTAAAGGTTCTCTGAAAAAAGTGCTCTTTTTTGTGTGAACGCAAAATTCCAGGAACTATCTGAACTAAACGGGAAAAGTACGGGTAAAAGTACTCCGGTGTGAAAGCGCCTAATAACAAGACTGACTTTTCAAGCTGTGACACACTTAACATTTTCTACAAGATCTGGAAACATTCAGATTTGTATTCTGTTAAATACATTTATATATATATTATATTTCAATAATGGAGATGGTGGCTTGCAGTCAGAACGTGTTACAAAAGGATAATTTATGGACTTTGAGTGGAATAATGTAAAAATATATGGTCATATAAAGTTAGTATTCAACTCAAAGGAAAAAGAAATACAAGTTTTTAATGGCAATAAAGAACTAAAAACTGGTCAGATAAAATATTATTGTTTTCTTTTTGACTGTGTGTGTGTGTGTGTTACCCTCAGAGTGTTTCTTCTTGGTGTGGTATGCGAGTGCAGCAGCCACACTGAAGCTCATGTGGCAGTGTTTGCAGCAGTATGGTTTCTCTCCTGTGTGCAGCCTCATGTGATTCTTCAGAGAAGAGTTGGCGCCAAACTTTGCGCCGCAGTCCTCACAAGCAAACGGTTTCTCTTCAAAGTGCTCGGTGCGCTTGTGGTAAAGCATGCCTGGATGGCAGCAGAAACATTACAATCAAGTACATAAAGAAGAAAAAAACAACAAAACAATATGATGAGTGAACAACTTGTGGACCAGAACAGCAACATTTATAACCTCCATAAACATTTTCTAACGAGTTTATGGTCTCAATCTCTAGTTTCAAGTCTACTTCATCACAGCATGAGGTTGATTTACAGCTTTCACAGTCTGTTTTCACTTCATTCTAATTGTTTTGTAGCATGTCTGTTAATCAGCTGATCATTTTCAGATCAACTTCCCAGTATACAGAACCAACACATGAGAAGTCCTCTCCTAATCTAAAAACTGTAAGACCCGCTAAAGCCAAACCCATGACCCTAAACTTATTCAAAATCAGTTTGTAAAGTTAGACATTCCTTTATTTTGAAGTAAAGACTAATTTACCATTATTACTGTATAAGCCCACCTTCATGACTGTTCTTTTCTGAAAATGACATAAGTGGAGGTTATATTGAAATCAAGCTACCTGACAACAGCAGATATTCTCATGGACGGAGCTTGTACTGTTTGTGTTCCATTTAAATGTTTCATTACACAGAAAGTGTTGCATTATGGGTTTGTTGTGCACTTAATATTGATAGGCTATGGATTTCCTTTGAGTCTGCACATGGAAATGGTTTTGGAAGAGATGGGTTTCTAACAAGAGTACCTCCTCCAGTCTTTGCTGCTGAAACTTGCATTTCCTGTTCCCTTCAAAAGAGAAAAGGTTCAAGAATGAGAACTGTCTTTAGAATACAGTATCTGTGAGAAACTTTTTGAAGAGCTCAGTCAAAAGGCATTGCTTATATCAACAAGTCGTTTTCCAAAAACAGCTGCTTTAAAAGCGATGATGGCTTGATATCCAGGCAAATTCATTGTTTTGCTGATATGAAATACGAAATAAACCTTGATTAAAAAGAGCAAAGGCAACACTCTACTGTATATCAAACGCCAAGGATCTCATGAGTGAGGCCTTTGTTTCTTCTGTTAGATAACTGACAGGCAGGATGAGTCACGTCTCAGCTGACAGTGATGATGGATGGGATTGCTCCACTAGGCCCCCCCACCCCATAGTCAGTTGTCACAGTTGTCACTTGTCACAATGCCATTGTTGGGAAAGTATACAAAAGTAATGCATTACACATTACTAGTTACTTAAAAAAAAAAGTAATGTGTAAACACACACATTGTTGTTTTTGTTTTTATCTTCTCCTCGCCTGTTTTTGTTTTTTGGGGTTTTCTTATGTTTTGTCCTAAATGTTTTGGTATTGTATCACCTTAATAAAAACAAAAAATATTAAAAGAGACAATGCTCACCTGAAGGGTGGGCGAAGTTTCTCCCGCAGAGGTCACATGACACCTTCTTCTTGAGGCGGGTGGTGCTGTGGTGGGCCTCGGCGCGGTGCTGCTGCAGGACCCTCTGGTTGGCCAGCTTCTTGGGGCACTGCGGGCACTGCTGCTCCCCCTCCTGAGAGGAGGGGCAACGCTTCACATGGGCCAGCATCCGACACTTGAAGGCAAAGCCCCTCTTACACCAGCGGCAGGAGTAGGGCTTGGAGGGGGAAGAGGAGTCTGTTGGAGCATCAATGACCTTCTCATCCTCTTCTGACTCTTCTTTTTTGTCCTCGTCCTCCCGCTTTTCTTCACTTCCGCTGCCGTTCTGCTTTCCTGAGTCAACTGTAGAAGATGGAAAAATGGTTGAGAAATCAATGTTGAATTAAACAGTGTTGTGCCGCAGAGATTAAACAAAACATATCCCTGTAGAAACTACATCACAATGATTGTAACAATAATTATGAAAAATGATCACGCAAATCATATTGCAATTGCAAAAACATTCACAACAATCCCAATTAGATATATATATATTTTTTTATTTGTACAGCCGATATTTTTTATTGACAACGATATCCACTCACACAGTTGTCCGCCTGCAGTGAGCCTGCTCTGAGCCTCCTCCAGCAGGGGGAGCAGGGGGGAGGGGAAGGAGGAGGGGGCTTGTTGCTGCAGGGTGAGGAGCAGGGTGAGGAGCGCCGCCTCGCTCAGCTGCTCCTCCCTCACTAGGCTCAGCAGCTTCTCCAGCGCCGGGTAGGGGTCTGCCTCCTCACAGCACTCACACACCAGCTGCAGGAGCACACACTCCATTATTCCCTCAGAAACACACACAGGCCTTCACTCTTTAGTAGAGTTGTTTAATAAGATGTAAAGATCATAAGGTTTATTGTCCTGACATATACAAAACTAAGGTGTAATCTTCCGTACTAAGTCATCAATGCATTTACCGATGTAGCTAATGCCCGCCTCCGTGTGTGTTGATGTTGTCGTCCTCAAACACACACCACTTTGTAGTTTCAAAGCAGTGCTGCAGAGCGGAGTCTGACTGCTCACTCCAGAATGTGATCATGTTCTAGTGAGAAGGTGCCCTGTTTTCATGTTTAAATGTTCTCTCCATAGAAACAAAGTTTATATTAGTTCTGTGTTGATAAAGGTGGGAGAAGTACACAGATCTTGTACTTGAGTAAAAGTAGAAGTACTCAGATCTTGTACTTGAGTAAAAGTAGAAGTACTCAGATCTTGTACTTGAGTAAAAGTAATAGTCCCAGAGTGTAGGAATACTCTGTTACAGTAAAAGTCCTGCATTCAAAATGTTCCTCAAGTAAAAGTAGAAAAGTATTATCATCAAAATATAGTGAAAGTAGCGACAGTAAAAGTAGTCATTGTGCAGATTGGTCCATTTCAGAATAATAGATATGATATGTTTTATAATGATTGATCATGAAAGTGTTCTCAAAGCTGGTAAAGGTGCAGCTAGTTTGAATGACTTTGTATACTGCAGGGTAGCTTGTGAATTTACTCCAGGTGGAACTAAAGTCTGATTTAACACTTGATTAGATTTCACATCA